TTCCCTTCCCATGGTCAGCCCCACGCCTCTTGCCCCGGGGTGATCTGTAGGCTGGACGGTTATCCAGAGCAAGTTGTCTGAACCTGTTTGTCCGTCTGGGTTACGGCTCTACCAGGTGCTGGAGGGGTGGAGCGGCAGGTCCCACCAGGGAACCCAAGGTGTGGGGCTAGGCTGGGGCTGGAGGGCAGGGAGAGGGACTTGGTCCTCTGGAGTGGTGGTTTTAGCTGTCCCTTCTGGGCACAGCTCCAACTCCTGCCTTTTAATGGAGAGAGAATTCTCACAGTGACAAGCTGTAGCCTGCAGGTGCCACAGCCATGCTGAGGAGGGGGCAGGGAGCGTTCATTTGCCTGGTTCGAGTGTGACCGGAATCCGCCTCTAGGACCACTTGTGACCGGCTCTATAAAGACCAGTTAGTCCATCCAGCCACTTGCCACTGAGAGGCAGAGACGGGGGTGTCGGGGACGACGGTGTGGCCCAGGACCCCCGAACCACCTGCCTCTCCTACTTGCAGCCATGAGTGGGGCCTTCTACAGGGTCTGTCTGTCTGGGAAGGGGCAGCTGCCTTTGCTTGGTCGGCAGCAGTTGCTGGGTAGGTCGGCTCATGGCCGCTGAAGAGCAGAGACCCTGGCAGGTGCTGCGCGGGCGGTAGCCGAGGGTCCCACTGCAAAGCCCTCTTGAACTGAGACATGGAGCCCACATCCCGGCCTCCGACACGGAAGGCTTGCTGAGAGGGAGGAGCTGGCGTGTGGGGTGGGAGCTGTGGGCAGCGGACTCAAGCATGGCGATGCAGATGGTCCTGAAACGTGGAGCGCGCATCCCCACCGCGAGCCTCCTCACTCCAAGGGTGGGCTATGAAGGGTGACCAATCCTGCCAGACTTCCCCTGGGTGACCCATGACAAAAAGGACACTGCACCTACTGTCGACAGTCTTGCTTCTGCTGCTTCCCCATTTCCCCAAGTGGGTTCTTCCCATGCAGCTTCCCCCTCCTCTCTCCTTTTCCTATCACTAACTGACAGCCAGTGTTCAACAGACACGGGTGCTCAGTTACAGCCGCCCCGCCCGAGATGCAGAACGACCGCAGAGCCCCGGGAAGGCCTCTCGCGTCCCTTTTCGGCCAATAGCCCTGCCCAGAAATATGATTCTCACTGCTTTCACCTCCGAATAGTTTTGGCTATTCTTGAACTTCATATAAATGGAATCCTACAGTACATGCCATTTTGTATCGAGCTCCTGAAAAGATCTCCCTTGCTCTTTTTAAATGGCTACATAGTATCTCCCTGCTGCAGTTCTGGAATATATTTTGCCGGTTGCTGCAGTTTGGATACAAATAATGCAGCCTTCCTCTGAGCCCTCCTCAGAGCTGGGATCACTGGGTGCATTTATCTGCTGGTGGCAATACTGTTCTACCAATCTTTGGGCTGACTTTCTAGCCAGCCCCTGGGGCAGTAAGAGTGCAAGCACACACCTAGGGCCACTGGCAAAGCTGATTATAGAAAGACAGGAAAGGTGCTTGGAATTCACGCCCCCACTCACAGGTGAAGACTCAACGCAGCAGTAGACAGGTCTGTGGTCCCCTTCCTCCCACCCCTCTGGACAGTTTTCCCTGCAGCGTCTACCTGTGGCAGCTGCCTCCTGGGTTCCCCAGAACTGTCTCGGCACTTCTGGGACCCCACTGCCGGGGTGAGTGCTGCTGCCTCCTGCTGGACGGTGAGGGCATAGCAGGCGCTCTGCAGGGCTGAGCCCAGAACCGGACACCTGACGGTCTTGTAGGAAGTGTACCTTGGGGCAAGTGAAATCTCACACTCTAGGGTCTGAGGTGTCCACAACCTGCCATTGGCTCCACCAGCTCCAGGTAGTGATGGGGACACTATTTTACCACGATCGAGCAGAGCTTCGTTAGAGCAGAGCGAAGCCTGGGGTACATCCTACTCCTGGACAGAGGTCTTGACCTTTGCCCCCGCCTCTCTTCAACTTCTGAGCAGGGAAGCTCAGCCTCCCTCAGCGAATAGGCTTTTCCCAGCCCCACTGCCTGCTCTGGACGCATTTTGTCATTGTCCGTTTCAGACTGAGGCATTGGCTTGGATCACAAAGCTTCAGCTCAGCCTCTCACCTCGATCCTGAATCCTCGCTTCTGTGGATGCAGTTCTCAGCCCTGGCTGTGCGTTAGGCTCACTTAGGGGTTTTTCAGTAATACCGGCACTGGGCGCTCTCCCCAGAAGTTCCTATGCAGGTATGAGGCCGTTGCTGAATATTCGATGTGCACACCCCAGGGGCCGTGGCATGACTTCCAAGTAAATGTAAAATAAGTCGGAGACAGCCCTGAGCAGAGACTTTTGAAACCAGGCACCTGAGCTGTCCTCAGCAATGACTATATCAGACCCAGGGTTGTTTTTATTTTTGAAAAAGAACTATTTAATTTAATTTAATATATCTTTTTTTATTTTGACCAGGGACAGACCTAGGGGCTTTTGTTTTCTAGGAGAAATGCAGAGAATGTAGGAGCAAGGAAGGAGAAGAGAGGGCCCCTGTTCCCTTTGTTGTGGGGGTTCAGGGGAGAGCAGGAACCCCAAGTTCAGACCAGACCCCAGGCTCTGGGATGTAGGAGGGAGTGTCATGGTGATGGCTATGTCCCTTCCACTTCTGGGATAGGACGCGGGCCGTCCCTACTTCTGAGCGCCTCCTCCCCCCCTCCCTCCCTCCATCCCTCTCTCTCCCTGTCGCCCCCAGGCCTCCAGATGTGCATGGCCACGTGCCTGGTTCTGGCTCCCCACCCCCTGCAGCCCCATGTTCTCCGAGGAGGGCAGGACCATCTGTCCTGCTTTCTGGAGTCGTCAGTCTGTGCGTGCGTGCCAGGCTCGGGCAGGCAGGTGTGCTCGCTCTCCCTCCTCCTGCTTTCCTCCCCCTGCCCCTGCCAAACATACTTCTGCCCCAGGGTGTCCCAGTCTCTGCCTTCCTGCAGACCTGCAGTGCCCGAGGGGCTGCAGCACAGCACCCCCAGCTCCCCTGCAGGTCTCTGTCCTCTGGTCCTTCTAGTGTCAGGTGTGCCCCTTCTGTTTCCGTCCCTGCTGCTCCTGTCTCAGCACCCTCCCGAAGGTTCCTGCAGCATGACCCCACTGTGGGGGTGGGGAGGAGGGCCCGGCTGCCTCTCTGCGGAGCCTGCCAGCCACCAAGCTGACACTGTGCCTTTTTTTGCTAAGATAATTTAGTGTAATTTGCTGCTAATGAATGAACGCACGCCTTGTTCCTATAGCTTTGGTAATTGCCTGCACGTCCACGGCTTGCTGATGGCAGCCTCAGCTAACGTTCCAGGAACTGAGGCCACGGGGGGCGGGGGTGCCTTCCTTGGTGTCTCTGTGGGTGCTGCTCTGAGAGCGTCCCCCGTCCACGGCAGTGGGGAGGATCTGGGTCAGTCTACCCAGTGGGACAACGTGCTGGCAGCCCGGGTGCCAGCCCTGGGGCATGGTGGAATGGGCCTCGGTGCTGGGAGGTGGGGGTGCAGTCTGTCTGTCCTGCCTGCGGACCGGAGCAGTACCAGGGAGAAGGGACAGGAGTGTGTTGGTAAATGTGTGTTCAAGCCCTTCTCCACCTGCCCCGCCCCAACACCCTCTGCCCACAGCGGCTCCGAGTTGCCCCTCACTCCCCACCTCCAGTGCTGGGCCCAGAAAAGCCCCGTCCTGGTAAGGAGCCTGCCGAGAAGGACCGAAAGCACAGGAATTCAGGACTCTGTTTGGAAGTGACTGGCCTGAAGTTTCCTTCTGCACTATCCATGCAAAAAGAATCCTGTAACCAAGGCTGCCTAAGGGTGTTTAACGTATTTAAAGGAATACCCTATTTAAAATCTTTCAGAAGCCCCTATTTACTCAGAAGCAATTGATATGGTAATTACAAGTCAATTCTTTCTTTGAACTTTATTTACGGGGGAGCGGCAGGTGCTGGAAGCTCCCCTCACCACTCTGGGGGAGAATGCTGCCTACTCCCCCTTGGAAGCTGGGGACTGAAGACTGGGCCCTTGCAGCCTGCCTCTGTAATGTGGGGGCAGGTCCCTTTCCTAGTTGACTTAAATGGAGAGAGCTGGGCCCAAATCCAGGACCTTCGTAGGCCACCTTGCCTGCAGGTGGCAATGGGAGCTGACAGATCTGAGCAGCTGGCATCAGGCGGCCAGGATGGAGGACAGTGGACTGACCTGAGACTAACCGAGACAGGGTCAGCCAGGGCGCACGTGGGCACGACGGGAGGTGGGGGCCCGGAGGGCTGCTCAGTGCTCAGCCCCAGTGCTGTAGGAGCCCCAGGCACGAGGGATGGGGCAGCTGGCCCCTGAGAACCAGAACTGAGATCAATGTGACTCCTCTGCCT